CAAATATTTTTAATGTTTTTGATTTTAATAAGCTTTGCTTAATATTAAGTTGAATTGTTTTTTTATGATTTTATTGTTTTTGTACCGATCTACTCGTGAATTATAGTTCACGGGCGGAATTTCTTTTTAAGCTTCTTTTTAGCTTAGCATTCATCTTAGCTTGTATGCTAGCTATTAATTTCCCGGGTCTTCGACTAAATCCGATTTGTCTTTTGCAATAGTAATTTAGCTTTAAGTAAATCGATCGTAGTTTTAAAAAGAAGCTTTTATCGTGTTATTATCGAAGTAAAAAAAAGAGAATTAAGATTTTAAGAAAAAAAGCATGCTTAAAATGACCTCGTGATTGCTATTGTTAATAATAAAGAAATCGGCGTAATTAGTGATTCCGTCGATAATGACCTCGACGTCGTTTATTTATTTATCGAAGTTATAAAAATCTTCGGATACGGTAGTATAAATTAAAGCTCGATCCGTTATAATAAATAGTTTAGCTATCTTAACTACTTTTTTGTTTATTACGTTAACTTTAGATTTATTATCGAAAAAAGATTTGCTTTTAATTATACCGTCGATATTAATAAAAACCTTTAAGGTCTTTATCGCTACTTTAAAGCAATTGCGAGCGATAGGTTGTTTGCGAATTTGCGTCGTTAAGAAGTCTAGCTTACTTTCTTTATTTCGACTTAAACGTTTAATAGTTAAAGCGTTTATAAGAATAAGTTTACTTTAAAAGACTTTTACGTTTTCTTTAGCATCTAAGATTACTAGAATGTGATAGCTTAATAGCTTGTCGAAGCGAGAGCTAAGTCCGAACAAGTTTTTAATTTAAACCTCGATTCTCGATTTTATAATCGCCGTTATTGCTTTTTCTTAAGCTTTAATAATAACGTAAAAGTCAATAAACTTCTTTCGTTTATAAGTCTTCTTTTTCTTTCCTTTTAATATTCGCTAAGTGATTTCAACTTTTCTTTTTATATCTTTTATAGCTTCGTCGGTTATAGCTAGTCTAAAAGACTTTTCTTTAATTATACTATCGAACAACTTATTTTTTAAATTTATTTCTATAGCAATACTCGATTCTTAAGAAGCACGAGCCTTAAAGGTGCCGTAGTTCTTTTCCTTTTATTATCGGACATTCTTTTTAATCTTAATAAACTTAGATCCTTTCGAAAGCGAAAAAAGCTTTTTAGCTTTGTCTTTTGCGGCAGCGTTGATTTCGATTAAAGCAACTTTTATGCTAGATAAGTAGCTAAGCGTGTTGATCTATCTTATAGCATTAATGTTCTTAATATCGACTAGTCTTTTAAAGATGATAATAAGCTCTTTTAGCTAGTTAATTAGTTGTTAAGCATTTTGATCGAGCTAATACTAAGCTAGCTATTAAATTGGTTGTTAATAAAAAAGCAAGTGTTTATAAGTTTTAAGTCCGCTAATAAATCGATTCTTTAAGATATTATCGTATTCCGTTTTACGAACGTTTAATACGATAGATTTAAACTAAGTCTTTCCTTGCTTCTTTTAAATAATAAAAGCACCGATCCTTTTAAGTCTTAAGCAAAAGCGTTCGTAATCATTAATGTAAATACATCTTTTATTAACTATATCTTTAAAAGCTTTATATTCATCTCGGTATTAATAAAAAGCTTAAGTTGTGTCTCCGGAGTTCTCGCAAAAGCTATAGTCTTGCATTTAGTTTCCGTATCTTTTACTTTTTCTTTTTTTTTATCTTTATAATTCGTAACCGATAATAGCAATCTAAACTCTACTTCCGAAGCTAACTTTACTTCGAGCATCTTAAGCAATATACTTAATAAAAGCTTCGTCGTAGTTTTCGAATCGAACTTAAAGCTAAGATTAAATAAAGCGTCGAGAAGTTAAGTTAGCGACTTAGTTTTCGAAGTAATCAATTCGATTATAAATCGCATCAATCTACAAATTAAAGAACTTTTTAATTATAAAACTTACTTTATTAATTCTTTTTTTTTCATTCGTAAACCGTAATTTACAAGTGAACGGTATTACTACTAAAGCTTTTTTAATAGACTTAAGAACGCTAGCTAGCTCGATGTGTTTTTTAATTAAAGTCCGAATATCTTTAATAAAGTTAATTAAAAAAGACTTCTTTTGATTTATAGCTTCGATAGTCTTAGTACTTTAATCGGTCTTAAAAGCGAATGCGACGAAGTCGTCGAAAGCGGCATAAGAGTCTAAATCGAGTTCGTCGACTTTATAATACTTAATCGTTTTGTTTCGGATTCCGACGAGTAATCCGAGAAAGAATAAGCGGCTTTATT